GACTACCTGGCAACACATCCTTCACATTCATACACAAGTAATGACATCAATAGCATGAATAGTGAATTTGGATTTGATGAGTACTAGAAAATAATTTGCAATACTGAGACACCTTGGACAACTGACTAGGAATGGAAAGAAATTGGGAATGGCATGAACAGAGTTTCCTTTCCCCCTGATCCCCTTCATCTTTGACCATCAGGGTTTGAAAGATTATATGGAAGAACAATAAAACTATCCAGTCCTTCTTCCTGACAAACACAACAGATATCTAACAAAGCAACACGATAGCTACTATCTTTTTTAATACAGGAAAGCTCAATTTCTTTTTACATAATTTATCCCTTGATATTAGAATGCCTGATGAAAACAAGTATCTGCTAAGGTGAAAGGGAATTCCAACATCACTGATAAACTCAAGAACTTCATTTCAGGTTTCCTTTTATGAAAGAAAACATAATTATTAAAATTATGAACAAAGCGTATTTAGACGATATCGAGTCTGGATTCTCAGCCAAGAGAAACCTCTCAGTCTTGCACAAAAAGAAAATATTTTGCTTAATATGTATCTCTGAACTTGATTTTCAATCTTATCAGAAGGTTTCTGCTGATTTAAATAATACTTATAACAACAAATGCTGGAAAAAGTAAAGTTAAATTACACTTCACTAGTAGTTTAAATCTTTTCCTCAGTCTCAACAAAACAGCAGTTAATCATCATACCAATAACCAAACAGAAGTGTGCATTCACCTACAAGTTTTTAAAAGAGGATATTTTTTAATCTGAAAGGATAATGAAAAAAGAAGGAGTAAAAGACTAACCGTTAGAATACTAAACATGCCAAGAATTGGCCATTTTAGAGATCTGAATATTCTCTGGAAATGCATGGATATTGCTCAGCAGGTCCTCAACTCCTTCTCACCACTGGTTGTCTTACCGCTTCTCTCTGTGCAAAGACTAACTAAATTGGAGAAAACAAAGGACTGATTTTTATAGTCAGTGTTTAAAACCTTCACTACTTCCCTTCAGTTCTGCCTGTGGCAGAAAGAAAGAAAACAGCCACCAGCAGAAAACCATGATAAAGAATGATAAGGTTTTATTGCTAAGAACATGCAGAGTACTTCTCTGAGTCTCCTACTTTCTTCCTTTGCACAACACTGTGCATAAAGAATTCACCACAGATGTGACAACCAGCTGGACTGTAACTCTTGAACTCTTGAATATTTCTCCCAGAACTTTCGGAAACAGTTACTAATACAAAGGATCAGAGGAGTGATGGAGATGCACTGCTAGTATATTACCTATCCAACTGACAAAGACTCATCTTCACAGAGCTGTCAACTACTGTAAAGATTGCAAAGATATAAAAGAAGATATTCATGATCAGTTCTCGCAAGAATTTCACCATTTTGATTTACTTTCAAACTCTCATACTTTCTGACACTAGTACTAAAAAATAAGTCTGAATAAACATGAAATACCTATATCACTATATTTAAATACTGCAAAAACTACTTCAGATTCTGGGCAAGACTTCAGAAACATATAAATTTATTTTAGAATTTTAACATATTTATATACATGTGCATAAATATTTAAAAAATAACTCATTCTGTATGTAGTATATACACATAGGTTTCAAACATTAGTATATATCTATATATAAAAATTGTCATTGATTTAACAGATATGTGGAGAACATATGGGAAAACACACTTTCAAATCATATGTATGTCCTTATGCTTACCAAATACACAATCAAGAAAAATCAGTCAATCTTTGGAGAGAAAATAACCTCAAAATTAGTATTTCTACTAGACTGCATATATGTATATAATATACTGTACCTTCATTTTTTACTGCAAACATAGTTAAACTCTGTATTGTGAACTTACCCACAGATTGGTGTATTTTCATCTGATCCAATTCTTCTTCAAGATTCAGTCTACAAAATAGGAAATTAAAAAAAAAAGAATGACAGGGCAATCATATAGCTCATTTAAAATCAGTTTTTAAAAAAGAAACCAAACCTATATCAATATATTACTGGGGAAAAAAAAGTTGTCAACACCCAGGAATTAGTTCTAATTTGACAACACTTAGCATACTTCAAACATAAGGAATATCTGTACGATGGCTGATTAAAATTTATAAATCATCTGAATTTCCAAAATTCAGACACAATCTTGATTTTAACATACACTAAGAAGTTTCAGCCAATCTTTTATTGGTAAGGAAATGCCTGAGATGAAAAGTAAACAGTAGAAAGTAGAATCATGTTAAGAGGGGAAAAAGTACTCTGTCTCAGGGGAAACCACTGCCCAAACTTCTGCAGATATATCTTACTATTCCTCTACTTCCAGCAACTATTTGAGAATCTTATTAACAAAATCTTTCCTTTCCTCTTCCAGCCCTGAACTGCTACAATATGACTACCATACTTTCTTCTGTAATATCAACCAGCTAAGGTCTGCACAACAAAAATACCTGGATTACTCTTTTTCAATTTATTAAAATTATATACAAATAACATTTCTGAGATACCAATGCTAAATTTTCCAAGTCAAATGGTAAATGTTAGAATGAGAGACATTCCTTTAAATTGTTCATTCATACTTGTGCTTTCTGATACAATTTCTGACTATGTAGTTGCACGCTTTTTCAGCAATAAAACCCCCACCTGTTTTAGCCTAGGAGCCTACAGAACTGAGCAGTCATTTAATATGCAGCTTTTGCTTAAAATATAAACACATATCCTATACAAATACATTATTCTAGTTCTGTTCTGAAAGTTGGATTGCTATTTTTCTCACAGTTGTTTCTGCTATACTCTGAACAGCAGCATCTCTTTCACAGGAAATTTATGTTTTACCCTACTTTATTCCCTGAGATAAGGCACAAAAAAAATCTGGCCAAAATATCTGCTAACTTAAGGAAAGGACTTAAAAAAAAAGTCTTTCATTATACACAGTATGTTAAAGCACATTGTATGTTAAGTGCACCTCTGACTCATCAATAAAATGTGAATTAAAAAGAAAATTATAAACATGAGAAGTTAAAGTAACCTGCTTTGCATAACACATAAGAATTTCAGGATCACTCAGCTGCATTCACAAGGTAGACTTTCTTTGCTCTTCTTTCATCCTCAAAGCCTCAGTCATCATCATTTCTAATACAGAGAGTACAGTGGTCTGTTTCCACACTGTCCTAACCCCTCACAGCATGTTAACTTTTTGTACTGAATGGCAAAATGTTTCCTTGGAAAAACATTGTTTACATAATTACATAATTAAAGACTGAAGTCAACATAACATACTTTCTGCTTGAACCTCTATCTTCTGAACAAGTTAGTCTTCAAGTTTAAAACACTATTTGAATGAACACATGTTTATGCATACATATAGCACCTCTCTACACACTAATTGACAAGCATACAATGATAATTGCACAAAATTTTTAAGAGCTAACTTTTACATAAAGATTTTTCATTAGGCTAATGAAAGACATGGACAAGTAAATAAATTATATGAAATAAGTAAAGGGGTGGGTTATTAGTCTGAATGTCTGAAGTGCCTCCAAATAAATTCATTTGTCTGTGAAACAGACTCCAACTGAAGTTATGATATATCTAAGCTGGAAAAATTTCGGTTAAATCCAGATAAGAAATTTCAATGTGCAATCCAAGATCCAACCCATACAAGTCAATGACTGGCTTGCATGAATTTTAGAAATACCCAATTGGATTAGCCCAGTGCCAGGTCCATCTATCACCAGTATTCTGCCTCCAGCAGAGGCAAAAGCAGATGCTGCTCAGGAAAGAGCACAATCCTAACAATTTCTGCAGTCTAATTCCAATTCTCTACCCTGGAAGTGGGATGTAAGCATAACTCTTCGTTTCTTCACCTTTAACTGGTCCCCTGTTGCTAAAAGAACCTTTCCTCCAGTGCCACAGCAATGGAATTTCTTTCTAACCTTTCATGTGAAGCCCTGTCAAAGGCAATTGGAAAATACATATCAGATTACTGTTATTACATAGTTACTGTCACCCTTCCACAATTCCAGCAGGTTAATGAAGCAGGATTTTCCTTTACTGGAGCCACACTAATGCTTCCCCAACAAAACTGTGTTGATCTGGGCCCAGCAATCGCTCTGCATCTCTGGTGTTTTTTGGTGGGTTGTTTGGTTTTTTTACTTCCAGCCCCCCTCTTTCCTGAAGACTGACTGCCATCTTCCCAAGGATGGCAGCAGTCAGGCTCACTGGTCTGCAGCTCCCTCTGGAGTCCATTCTGTAGATGGGAATTACAGTGGCAACCCGCCAGTCCACTGGCACAGAGGCTAACAATCAGATTACAGTTTGGTAATGTCTTACTGCAGCTTGTTCACACCCCTTGGCGTGTGAAGAATATTACTATCAAGATACTAACAACGAACTAACCTACCTGACCTCGACCTGTATAGTTACTTCAAATAGGTTTAATACCTTTGATGTATCCGCTACAAAGAACACGCAAATTGCTGGCGTCTTCTAAGTGTCATCATACAATCATAGAATGGCTTGGGTTGGAAGGGACCTTAAAGATCATCTAGTTGCAAAGATTGACTGAGCTGTTCTTTTATGGCATTGTAAACTCAGTATATCATTTTACACTACTATCATTAAGCAAACCTATACATTTCCTTACTGGCTTCTTTTTTACTTCATTCAAGTAAAATTTTACTGTAACAGCTTAAGCATCTCTGAAAACCACTCTTCAAAAGCCTTTTTAAGCTTCTTGACTTCCCACTTACAATTGCCCTGCCACTTTTTATTGGCTCTACCTTCTCACCAATGCAAGCTTATGTTTTAAATACTGACCTTTTCTCTGTGAGTGTTTTAAAAACATCGTCATGAAGTCCACAGAGAATGCTATTTAAGACTATCTGGGGGGAAGGGTTGGCTTGGAGTTATTTTAATTTCATTTTTTAAACTGTAGCCCTTAGTTCAGCTGGGTTTCAACTACAGCATCTTTCTTAAGTCTCCAACTGTTCATAGGTTTCTGTACTGCTTATTCTAGTGTTTGGGGGATTAGAGACTTTTTGGTCTAGTTGCTTCATTTATATGTGGTTCCCTTTCTAGAAAGTGAATATCCCTAGTCCAATAGATTTGCTTCACTCTCTTCTGATACTATTCAAATTAATTAAAACAAAAAACTCACATGAAACCAATACAGGCCTTCCTTATTTTCCTAGTGAACTTACAGAGAAAATCATCCTGGAATGATATCCAGTCACCTAATGGTCAAGGTGATTGAAAACAGCAAGCATATATTTACGAAGGGAAAATTTGCTTTACCAACCTCACTGTCTCTGTATGAGCTGACTGGCTGTGAGAATAAAGGGAGAGCAGGCATGTATACCTTGAATTTGTCAAGGCATTTGAGATGATCTCCCATCTCCTTATTCCCAAAGAGTTGAGATCTGAATTGAAAATTAGATAAGGTGTCTGGAAAATTGGCTGGGCTGTTAGGCTCAAGGGGTGTTGATCTGTCGTGTTGAGTACAACTGGCAGCTAGCAATTATAAGCATTCCTCAGGGATCCATAACAAAGCTGGTACTGTTTACTGTCTTTATTAACAACCTCAAAGATGCATTAGAGTGCCTCACAGGAAGTTCACAAATTATATAAAATAGAGGGAAGCAACTGAGAGCTTCAGCCAGTGGGCTGGCTCATGATGACTTCATAGCAAGGAAAAAAAAGGGCTGATGGGAACTTCATGAAGTTCACTTAAGGCTATTCCTGTTAGAATAACTGATTGCAACAGGAAAGGCTAGAAGACAACTGGCTAGAGAGCAGCTTTGCAGAAAAAATGGGGTCCTTCTGAGCAACATGTTGAACATTAGGTAGTAACATGCCTTTGTGGTGAAGGCTAACAACATACTAGCTCTATTGGCAAGAGTCAGTGATTTCCATGACTGATTCTATTCTGCTCTTCTGAGATGGCATGTGTGTCTTGGTTTTGGCTCCTCTAAGAAAGGCACTGACCTAATAGATTAAGTCTAGCAAATGGGTACAACAATGGTCAAGGATTGGGCACATGATTTATGATGACAAGATGAAAGAAAACCTCCCACCACCAACACCCTCTTCCTCCTATCCTTAAAAGAGTTCATTTACCGCAGGACCACTCTTGGTGCAAGAGGACATTGTCACATCAGCTAGACAGCAGATCTCATATCTCATTCATGCTCTCATCTAAGAGACTAGATTCTGGTGAGTTCTCCTTTTTCAAAAGTTATGCTCTTTGTGCCAGCACATATAAAATGTCTTACATGTAGAAACTTAAACATGTCACACGAAACCAAACTGAATAAATCGCATTCTACTGTGGGGACTGCGTCCTGAGTTCAGTGTTTTCTTTGATCTGGGGAAGCTAACATAGGTATCGCCTTCCTTTTTGAACCAATTACTGTCATCCTATCCTATCATATCCTATCCTAATCAGTTAGTTTGTTTCTTGTATTATTTTTAATATCTGAAGCTTGACAATAATTTGTTCACTAGCTTTTTAAGTTTTGAAGGCAAATATTAGGCCACTAATGGCCAACATGTTTGCACTGAGCAAATTTCTAACTATTTAATTCCTTTGGAAACATATTCTACACTGAACTCTAGTCAAACTTTAATTCTTTTCCTGAAAACCATGTAATAAAACAAAACCTTTAAATTACTCTAGCTAGAATTTGTAAAAAATAATCACCTGTTATGCATTATAACAAGAAATACACATCTAGTTCAGATCTATAAAATGAACCACAAAAGTACTGTAGCCTGCACTTTTTGCTACAAGAGTGCAGCTCAACAAAAGGAACATGGTCTTCTTGAAGAGCACAGCTCTTTGCAGGGACTGCATAATTGCTACTTTCCTGAAGAACAAGTGAACATGATCAGTTGGAAGAAGCATCAAA